TCCTGCAGACCTCTTGTTTTATATGTTTTATATGTTTAAGTGTGTTTTTTCCTCCTGCAGACCTCTTGTTTTATATGTTTTATATGTTTAAGTGTTGTTTTTCCTCCTGCAGACCTCTTCACAAGAGGAATCGACATTCAAGCTGTGAATGTTGTGATCAACTTTGATTTTCCCAAGCTGGGAGAAACGTACCTTCATCGCATCGGTAGATCAGGTAAGAACCCGCGTGGGTCGTTTGAAGCGTTTATTATTGTCGGGGTGCGACTTTAATCCCTTTTCTTAAATCCTCAGGACGTTTCGGACACCTGGGTCTGGCCATCAACCTCATCACGTACGACGATCGCTTCAACCTTAAAGGAATCGAGGAGCAGCTCGGGACGGAGATCAAGCCCATCCCCGGGATCATCGATAAGAGCTTGTACGTGGCCGAGTACCACAGCGAGAGTGGAGAGGAGGCGAAGCAGTGAGCCAGTGAGTCCCTCCTTTACTTCAAACCTTTTCTTTTTTTTCACCACATTCAGATTTCAAACTGATCCAAAGTTTTATTTTCCCTCATGTCCTCATAACAGATGGTAAATTTTTAATGCAGTACTGCCTTTTTTATAACATTTTTTGTCCTATAAATCAGTTTATCAACTGAGGTGTAAATAAGCCCTAACTCGACAGATGAATCAAGTTTTGTTAAATAAACATATTTAAATAGTTTGTAGGAGCTTTAACTGCACTAACATTTTATTGGTTTGCTTTTTCTTTTTTTTTTAACTGCTTACTAAAAGATAGGGATGCACCGATATGAATATTTAAGCCAATATTGATATAATTATTGCTTTTATGGCCGATAACCGATATTTACCGATATAACACAAATTATATTAAACATATACGCACAAACACACTCTTTGATAGCGTAAATAAAGGACCAGACCTGACATGGCTCTACATCAGTTACTCCTGGCTGTGCAGCATCGATATCATAATCAAACAGATGCAGCTCGACCAACCATCTCCCAAAGCAGAAACACAAAGATAAAAATTGGGAAATGAATATTGGACCAGTAAGGTCCAGTTTTACATGTCAGACCCGTACTGGTGTTCTAAAAAATGACCATTATAATTCAATACTAGGGGTGTAAGAAAATATCGATACACTGAAATATCGCGATATTTCATTTCCCGATACTGTATCGATATTCTAAAGCCCTGTATTGATTTTTTATCAAGGTTTAAAATGTCAACTTTCCTGCCAGCCATTCATTTTTATGTTGTAGTTCAGCCTCTGACCCCTAGTTGGCAGCAGTGAGCCAGCCATTTGGCTCCTCTACTTCTTGAGACAGACAGTAAGGGTAGCATTAGCATTGTGAGTAAAGATTAGCTTCATGCTCCGATAGCTGAATCTGAGCAGAAAAGACCGAAACCCTCTGCCTTCTAAGCTGAGGTAAGGTTACAAACAGTTACTTATTTATCAGAATGTCTGTATTTTAAACCAAATTAAGTGTCTCGTGCACTCTTTTTTCCAACTAGTCAGGCTTTACGTTACAGAAGGCTAGCGCATATCTATGTAATAGAATTTTCTGAGACAATAAATTTTGGTTTTTCTTTTTTTTTTCCATTAAGAGGTTTTTATTTAATAGAATTTTTGGACCAAGAAATCGCAATATATCACCTTGCTTACAGTATCGCAATATATCGGGATGTATCGTATCGTGACCCGTCTGTCATGATATGTATCGTATCGCCAAATTCTTGCCAATACACAGCCCTATTCAATACTGATAATAAAGGGATCCCTGATTAGCTGTAACATTAGACTTTATTTGATAAACAAAATGTGGATGGAGGAGAACGTGTAGCGCTGTGATAGCATCGGGGCTAACGCTAAAGCTAACAGGCTAAGCTGAGGTTCTTCTTCCATGAAGCAGCTCTGTTGTCCTCCATCCATATTTTCAGTTCCAGGCTGAGTCATTTCTACCTTCTCCTCTCTGTCTGTGGGATGCCTGTGACATCAAAAAATTTTTTTTATACAAATGCATTTTTGTAAAGATAACACTGAGAACATATTACAAAATAATTTTCATGCTGCTGAGATGAACGGTTGTTGAGATGTTTGCATGTGAAGTAACAGGAAGTGATGTCAAAGGGGAGTGTCTGCATGTAAACAGAGCTAAGCTTAAATGCTCAACAGCCCAGACTGTGGAGAGGAATCTGATGTTTTAGATTATTATGAGTCACAATCAGAGAGAAACAGTCAGTTTAAATCAGTAAACAAAGACCAGTGAGTTATTTTTCTTAAAGGAGTTCCCCTTTGATGTCACTTCCTGTTTCCCTTTTGCCAAGTTCAAAAGAAAATCTTGTCTAAAGGAGTAAAATGTGTCAAGTTTTTTTAAATGGAACGAAGTTTTCTTTGACTTGTATCTGAAGGATAAGCACGTCACAGGCACTTTAAGACCACTTTAAAATATTAAAATGTCTCAATGTTTCCACATTTTTCTGCCAAACGATGAGAAAAATGATGAGTTTCAGTCTAAACTGAACTTAATGTTAAAACTAAATCAAACATCTGTATTATTCCAGGGAGTTTCACATTTTAAGTTTTAGTTTTGTGCATTAAATGTAGTCCAGTGAATTTTCTTTTTTTTAGTGAGTTATTTACGAAGTACAGCTGCCTTTATGTGATATTTTACTAAAGTTTTTGTTTTTTTTCTCCTCGACAGATCAATCCACTCCCCTTCAGTTCCCCTTCAACCCCCACTTGGATTATTTTTTTATTTTTCTCCCCTCCGGTTTTTTTTTTTGTACAGTTTCTTTCAGTCTTCCTTTCTCAGACGCCACCATAGAAAGTTTTTTTTTTTCTATTTTTTTAATTATTTTTCGATGGAAGCTTTCAGGATGAACTCACCGCCTTGATTCAAGGCTTCAGCGCTGCGTCACAAACGTACCGAAGACACGAGCAACCAGGAGGAAGGCGAAGGGACCCGAGTCGAGCGGACGACGAGGTTTCCTCACTGCGGACACAGAGCCAGCACCGACGGACCCCCCCACTCCCCCCTCCTCCCTCCACACGCCACTTTTTATTTTAAAAGTTTTGAGTTTCAACCCGTTCATATAAAGTGCCTTAACAAGCAGTTCAACTCGTTCTGAAGTAATAACCCTTCATTCGTCACCGTTGTCTCACTTCACCTTCACCTAAGTGAGAATCAGTTCCAGTAATTAGCAGAAAGGTGAAACTGGTTTGGGTGGGCTCATGTTTTTCTGAGGGGGCTGGAGGAAAAAAAAAACCACAAACGGAGGGAAACTGGTCTGAGTTCTTTCCGCTGGCGACTAACTGAAGGACGAACCTTTGAGTTTTCAGTGGACAGAGACTGGATTATTATTATTTTAAAGTGTTTTTGTTCTCCAAGAGACGCCCAGACTGTCCCAGACGCTCGAGGAGAAGCTCGTGCTTCTTAAAGACCCTAAAAAGCTTTCCTCTCGTCTTCAACGTCAAAACACTAAAGTCCAAAAAAAGGAAGAGCAGCCTGGAAACATCAGGAGGATTCCTGCTTCACTGGAGAGTTTTTCCTCTTTTTCTTTTCTCTTAATTTGTCCTGAGTTTCACCCTCTATGGTTGGCCATAAATCCTGCAAACAAACATGTGGGGAGCAGCTTCTGTAAATACTTTAATTTTAAGGTTGTTTTAAACAAAAGAAAAAAAAAGGTGACAAACTGGAAAGCTGCCCGACCCGTTTTCTGTCTCTCGTTGGCACTGAGGTCCTGAACTGTTTGTTCTGCGATGTTGGCCTGTGAGTTTATTTATAATTTTGTTTTCTTTTCTTAGAAATCGCAAAAAGCATTTAACGAAATGTTTTTGAAGACGATCGGTAATCTGTATTTTTTTTAAACTCCCTATTTGACGAGTGCAATTCAACGAAGAAGAAAAAAAGCGGCACTTATTGTTCCCCTCCTCCTGCTGTCAGTGTTAACGAGCTCCCAGTCCAGACAGATCGCTTTCCCAGTTAATGAACTCTTTACCTGCGAAACGGGACTGTTTCCAAACTGAGCGCTGGTAAATGTAAAACTAATAATCTGTCGTTTAGTGATGCTACTTGCTGCAGTGCAGCTGATTTGGCTGTTTTTGTTTTTTGTTTTCTTGCAGGGGGGCGGGGTTATACGCTGTTACGTTAAATTAATGCCATTAAGCACCACTGCGGGATTTCCTACCTTTTGGGCAGAAGCTGTTTTTAGTTCTTCTCTCCCCCACTTTCTTTTTGTAGAAGAGCCTCGGCCAAAAATCCAAACAAATCTGACATGTAGCGGGATTAATAATCATAAATAATCTCTGTGCTGCGAGTTAAAGTCGCTGAAACCCGCCTGAGGTTTGGTTTTTGCACAGAGCGGCGGCTTCAGCTCTGCTTTTTGTACGACGCCCGGAGGAGAAACGTGTGCCGTGGTGCAGAACTTTGGTTGTAGATTAAAGCGGCGGGGGGGCAGATTATATATTCAGATTACTTGTAAAATGAGCCGGGCGACCCCGGCCCGCTGAGCTGACGGCCTCTTTCTGCCTCTGTTTTATATTCTAGAGTGGGGTGGGGATTAGATTTTTGTGACAAAGCCTTGGGTCTGCGTGGAGGTCCTCCTGAACGCTGGGCTCGGACCCCCACGCAGACCCTGGTTCCCCTCTTTGTTTTCACGGTAAGATGCTTTAAGGTGCTCCTGATCGACGAGAAGAGCTGTTGAAAACAAACGATGAGATCCTCCCCGTGCTTCTCGTCGGTCGGCGCGCTCGACCCTCGTTCTCCCCGACGGTTGCACCTCTTTGATTTGAGGATTTGGGTAATTTGAGGGCAGGTGGGTGGGATGTTTAATAAATTTAAAAACATAAATCAAAGTGTAACGGAGAGATCGGGGGTCCGGTTGTTCAGACACGTGGCAGCTGTCTGTTTCCTCAGCCTGCAGTGACCACAGCCGCCGTTACGAAGCTGCGAGTCGATTCTTTAAGATTCGACGTTCAGCTTCGTGTCGGTGCAGCTTTGCTGCCGGTGAGGAGCCGTAAAGACTGAGACGAGAGCATCTTGCCCCGGATCGGGCCACGAATCGAGCAGTTAAAACCAAATCGTCTCATTCTTTAGGGTCTTTTTAAAAAAAAAACAAACGTTGGGTGGGTAATCTGGTCCGCTCGCTGCCCTGATGCTTTTGTTTATCTCGGCAGAAGGCATCACAGCTTTTGTGTAAAATTCGGCCAAACCGTCAGATTTCCTGTCGAGATAACCGGAGTCCTTTTTAGGATTTCTTTTTCAAAAACATCAGAAAAAAAAAAGAACCAGGGAGGGACGAGGGCACTTTAAGAAACGGATGCTTTGAAGGTTTAAAATATTTAAAAAAAACATCCGAACGTTTTGGTAATGGGTTTGATTATATCTGAGAAAGTTGCCCTCAGATTATTATTATTTTTGTTTCCAATTGAAGAGTTCAGACGGAGAGCACCGTAACTTAAATCTCCAAATTGAAGTGGATTTAAAGCTTGTGTTAGTTTTTATTTAATTTGATTCTACGATTGGCGCAGTTTTCAGTGGCACAAAATTTTTATGAGCAAAGTTCAGACGTCCGTGGGGAAAACATGATTGGATTCAAAGTTTTGTTTGGAACAATAAAGCTCACTGAAATTTACTGTTTGAGTTGTGTTTTTATTTATTCGACCCGTAGAGGGCGCTGTTTGTTTTTATTGAACCAGAGCTTTTCAACAAACCTGCTCCTGGAGCTACGGTTACTGCAGGTCAACAGCTCAGACTGAACATCCAGGGATTAAAGTTATGAAAATAAACCAAGTATTACAAATATGTTACCTTTTTAAATAGTTTACTGCATTTAATCATGAATACAACCTACAGAACCTGTGTAGTGATAATATCCAAAACAAAACTTACCATTATCTCTGACTTGCCAAATTTTAAACAAATTTTCTTTTTTCAGTTTTATCTTCAACTGCTTTTAATTTTTACTGTCTTGAGTGTTGATAAGAATGATTTTTACCAGCTTCTAGCCAAGTTTAACTAAAACCTCAGTAAAGTAGAAAACCAGGAGTCTGGACTTGGATTAATAAACCAATTGGCGGGCCGAACTTTGGTCACTCGCTAATGGTTATAAACTAAAGTTGAATAACCCTGTCTTCATATTAACTCCCTGACCTGGATGGTTTTCATTTGCACAATAACAATCGTTTAGTTTCAGCTCAGCTCAGGATGCACGACTCAGTGGTTTTTCTATTTGTGACTGTTTGTGTTTGTGTGAAGAGTTCGCTGCCTCCTCCATGTGACAGGTAAGAAAACAAGTTTTCTTTTTAAAATTCAACATTTTACACCTGGTTTTACAATAAAAGCTGATTACTCAAAACAAATACCAAAATGTCTATTAAATCTAGTTTTAAGTGTCTTTTTAAAAATTTATTGAAAGTTTTATTTAAAAAGGTTCTGATTTTATGGCAGTTTGGGAACCTTTGACCTCAACCAGCCTGCTTCAGTGATGGGAGCTCCTGTTGTAATTTAAACTGTTTTATCACATCTGTTAATCATTTCAGCTGGTTTTATTACTGCAGAGTAAAACCTGTTTTAAGAACAAACAGAAAATTAACTGTTCATGAATGTTGTATGTTATAATCTGGTTTCACGAGACCACCTCTAAAACTTTGTGCATTTTTCTTTTCCCTTTATCTATTTAGTAATGTGTCCTGATGACAGTTTTCTTCAGAGTTCAGGTACTTTGGGTACTCGCTGATACCTAGTACTAATGGAGTACACATTGAGTTAAAGCCTAAACGTTACACAATGACTAAAAACATTTATTTATTACAGTCACTCTGAATCAAATCTAATATGCAGGACAACATTTTATTTGTAGATTTCTTAAACATAAAACTGAAACTTTTCAATTGAAATGCAAACCGTAACATTTAATGCAGTTTCCTTATTGATAATGAGGCATTTTGTAGAAGTACTTGTAAAAAATAACTTATTGGGCCCAAGGTGTTAGTATTATAACCTCATAAACCATTAAAAGAAATGATAATTAGGAGTTAAATGTATATTTAAAAGAAATAAAAACAATTTAGTGCCCCTGAATGTCAACTGGTCCTCAACATTAGGATGCAGAGTTTCAACAGGTGTTAATTTTATTATTTTTTTATAAATTTGAGCAGCGATTATCTCAAGTGTCTATAAATAAAGTAGACCTGTGGGTAACCTTTTTGATGTATTATGTATTTATTTAACACATAAGAAATAAAACAAAGAATACAACAATTAAAAATGGCATATTTCACATGCAAGGGAAGGTAAAGGCCTAAATAGGCTTATGTAAAATCCACTGCCAATCAAATCAAACTACAATAAAACAATAAAAAAATAAATGGAAATAACCAACAAATATTTCTTTTTACAGTCCCCTAATTACCTTGTATTTACATGCTAAGTAATAGCATTTTTACTATGCAATTACTTGGTAATTACAATAATTTACCATGTAATTACTTGGTAAGAACACATGTTTTTGTTTGCATTTTGCTTAATATATAACTGAGGTACTATTAAACAGTAATTTGATTGTAGTTACCCAATAAAAGTAGTTTTACTACATAGCAGTTTACTGTATACACTTTATAATAACATGGTGATTAGGTGACTGTAAAGAGTCAGCAATTTTTTTGGCAAATAGTGGGTAATTGAGAGAGAACTTTAATTGTAAAAGAATTACCCACTAAAATGAGTTTACTTCTGCAGTGTTGTTCTTACCAAGTAATTACATGGTAAATTACTGTAATTGCCATGTAACTGTATAGTGAAAATTACTTACCATGTAAATGCTTGGTAATTGCATGATAATTAGGGGACAGGTTGGTCTATACTGTCCTGTATTACTGCATTTAACACAACATAAATCTGGAAATATAATCTAGATTTGGGTTTTTGTGACGCCCTCCCAAAAACTTTGACCAAAGTTCTAAATCAACTCTTAATAAAATAATGGCAACAAATCTGCAAACAAAATGGTAAAACTGGATTACAATAAAAATGTAAATACAGTAAATAAAAACTGAAGTGTTGTACATCTTACCAGTTTAGGACCTTGGACTGAGGATGCACAGTGCTTTTGGAGACACTGGGACCTTTTATACCAAAGACCTTAAGGGTCTAGGATGGATTTTAAGGGAACATTTGCAAAGTCCACTTTAGCTGTCACATTTTGTTGTGGACTTGGAGTCTCTAGGAGTGCAGAAAATGTGAATTAAGTCTTTCCTGAGACTAAAAATGATTCAGTTTGGGTCATATTTTCCAGTCCATTCAGTCTTATTTATTCTTTGATTGTTGTCTGAACTCTTGCGTCACATTTGTGATGGAACTTCTGAATCAGGTCTGGACTTGCCAACTACAATATGGTGGTCTTCATTCCCGTCTGGTTCTGGGTCAGACTCTGGTTCCAACATGTAAGGCTGGATGGACAAGTCTTCCCTTGTTGACATCTTTTAAATAATTTGTAATTAAAAAGTTTCTGTGCAGCTATATACAGCGGGTAAAATAAGTATTGAACACGTCAACATTTTTCTCAGTAAATATATTACTAGAGGTGCTAATGACATGAAATTTTCACCAGATGTCGGTAACAACCCAAGTGATCCATACATACAAAGAAATCAAACCATAAATGTCCAGAAATGAAGTTATTTGTAATAATGTGGAATGGCACAGGGAAAAAGTATTGAACACATGATGAAAGGGAGGTGTAAAAAGGCATGGAAAGCCAAGACACCAGCTGAACTCTCTCAGTAATTAGAAAACAAGCCTGCCCCTTGTCAGTGCAAGTTAATATCAGCTGGTTCAGTCCCAAATGATGGCCAGGTATCACACAAGAACCATCTGATGATGGGTAAAAGTAAAGAGCTCTCTCAAGACCTTCACAACCTTATTGTTGCAAAGCATAATGATGGCATCGGTTACAGAAGAATGTCTAAACTTCTGAAGGTTCCAGTGAGCACTGTTGGGGCCATAATTCAGAAGTGGAAAGAACATTATTTCACCATAAACCGACCACGACCAGGTGCTCCTCACAAGATTTCTGACAGAGGAGTGAAAATAATTATCAGAAGAGTTGTCCAAGAGCCAAGGACCACTTGTGGAGAGCTTCAGAAAGACCTGGAATTAGCAGGTACGATTGTTTCAAAGAAAACAATAAGTAATGCACTGAACCACCATGGCCTGTATGCACGCTCACCACGCAAGACTCCACTGCTGAAGAAACAGCATGTTGAAGCTCCTTTAAAGTTTGCTGCACAACATTTAAACAAGCCTGTGTAATACTGGGAGAATATAGTCTGGTCAGATGAGACCAACATTGAACTGTTTGGATGCCAGAATACACATCATGTTTGGAGGTCAAATGGCACTGCACATCAGCCCAAAAACACCATACCAACAGTGAAGTTTGGAGGTGGGAACATCATGGTGTGGGGCTGTTTTTCAGCATATGGTACTGGCAAACTTCAAATAATTGAAGGAAGGATGAGTGGAAAAATGTACGGAGACATTCTTGATAAAAATCTGCTTCCATCTACCAGGATGATGAAGATGAAACGTGGCTGGACATTTCAGCAAGACAATGAGCCCAAACACAAAGCCAAGGAAACTCTCAGTTGGTTTCAGAGAAAGAAACTAAAGCTGCTGGAATGGCCCAGCCAATCACCTGACCTGAATCCAACAGAAAATCTATGGAAAGAACTAAAGATCAGAGTTCATAGAAGAGGTCCACGAAACCTTCAAGATTTGAAGACTGTTTGTGTGGAAGAATGGGCCAAAATCACACCAGATAGATAAATTTCAGCTTGTTCAATACTTTTCGCTGTTCCATTCCACATTATTACAAATAACTTCATTTCTGGACATTTATGGTTTGATTTCTTTGTATGTATGGATCACTTGGGTTGTTACCAACATCTGGTGAAAATTTCATGTCATTAGCACCTCTAGTAATATATTTACTGAGAAAAATGTTGACGTGTTAAATACTTATTTTACCCACTGTAGTCGTAAACTTCACTATAGAACTAGAATGGACCGGTCTGGAAGCTCAAAACGAGTTGATCTGACACGCCCCAGAAAAGGGGCGGGGCTTGTGGAGTGTTGCAGTTCCACTTTATTCATGGTGTGTTCAATTTACATCAGATTCCCAGAACTGGTAAATGGTAATGACGTAATTTCCCAACAAACCATATGAAACTGCATTCCAGTTAGCTGACAGGCGACTGCTGCCACGACCCCAACATAAGTGGGAGACATTACTGCTTTGACGAGGAGTCTAAATTAAAACACAAACCAAAGTAGAGCATGGTGGCGGTAGCATCATGCTGTGGGGCTTGAGAGATACTGAGGACTGCCTCCAGATTCTTCATCTTCACAAATCCACAGGTTGGAACTTGGAGGAGCTGGACGACGATCCCAAATGCATCGAAACAGTTTGGTCTTGATTGTTTTTATTTTTCGACCCGACCCTTTGGTCTTATAGCACCGCTGACATGGATTTATTACTTTGCAGCTGTGCTGTTACATGTTTATCACTCTCTTGTTGAGTCTAACAAATTATACCTTCTGGTTTCAGTGAGATCTACTGCTCAGGCTCCATCCTGCATCAGGTCCAAACAGCTAAACTGTTTGACGATGACAAATACTTCGTTGACATGAAGCTGAGATCAGCTCCCGGTGAGTCCAGGGTCACTACAAACCTAATGTTTCAATCAAACACAGCATATCTTTATTGTTTTCCTCTTTCTACAGGAAATGTTTTGTCTGCTTTTCAAAACCTTTCGAGCGCATTTCCAAATGGAACCGTTCCGCCTGAAGAACTCCGAGAGTTTCTCAACGCCAACTTTGAGAATCCGGGGACAGAGTTCGAGCCGTGGATGCCATCGGACTGGCAGGACAAGTGAGACTGATTGTTCTACTGTGGTTTTCATTAGTATTCTGAGTTCATTAGTGCTTGATCAACAAGACTTGTTTCTCCAATGTAGACCGAAATTCCTGAATGGAGTGGCAGACGATGAGCTTCGAAAATGGGGGGAGAAGATACATCACCTGTGGAAGGATCTTAGCAGAAAGGTGTGTAGAAGTTATGACCTCGGCCATAGACCGCAAAGTTTAAGGGGAAAAGGGCAGAAATCTGGATTCAGGCTAGGCTAACTGCTAACCAAACTAGAACAGTTTTATAGTTTTTCAAACAAATTTTCTCAAAAACAGCATAAGAAAAATTTGACATTATCTGATTTTAAACCTCTACATGTTTATGTAATATATTCGGTGTCTTTTTCCCAACTTAACTGAGCTTTATTGTGTGAATGTGAACATAAAACGGCTGCGCAAAATACAGTCCGTCCATCTTTAAAAATAAAACCTCCTTCAGATTCACAGCAGTGTCAAAGATCATCCGGAGCTCTATTCTCAGATCTACATGCCGTATCCCGTCGTGGTACCCGGAGGACGCTTCAGGGAGATCTACTACTGGTGAGAGAACTGTTCGACCTTTAACCTTTACCAGTCCTCACCTCCCTCGGAATTGATCGGTCGGTGTGAAAGACGCAGCTCTTAAATGGTTTGGCATATTTGTCTGCTAGGAGTTTTTCTCTCAATATTCGAGGCCCCTCTTAAAATTGGGGTACCTCAAGGCTCAATACTGGGCCCCCTTTTATTTTCTCTTTATTTACTTCCACTATAATATTATGTGTCATAATTTTTATGCAGATAACATCCAGATTTATTTGCCTTTTTAAGAACCTTCTCAGCTGTGGCTCCTAAACTCTGGAACAGTTTGAAATCTGTCCACCCAACAGGGACTCCTACTGGGTCATCAACGGACTCCTGCTGTCAGAGATGACGAACACGACTTACGGGATGATTCAGAACTTCCTCTACCTCGTCGACAGGTGGAACTCATTCAGCTTCTGGAGCCATGAGAATCGTTTGAAAGGCTCCTCGGGCGGGTTTCGAGTTTTGTGTGGAGTGAAACATTTCCTCTCCTCCTCATACAGGTATGGCTTCGTTCCAAACGGCGGGCGGGTTTACTACGAGAGGCGCAGCCAGCCTCCGTTCCTCCCGCTGATGGTGGAGAGCTACTACCAAGCAACCAAGGACAAAGAGTTCCTCAGGTGATGCGTGTTCCTCTAGAAAACATAAAAAAATAAAGGCTAAGATGTTTTACCACCGTGATAAAACAGTGTGATTTAACGTTTAGAGAAGCTTTGCCTGTTCTGGAGAAGGAGTACCAGTTTTGGATGCAGAACCGATCTGTGGTGGTTAAAGTGAACGGCTCGGATCACATCCTGAACCGGTTTCACGTCCAGGCGGGCCTGCCCAGGTACGCCTGAGACAACAAAGCATATGAAAGATGTGTTTTGGTGCCTTTTTTCACCTCCATAATCCTGGGCTCTCCCTCCAGGCCCGAGTCGTACACAGACGATCTGGAATTAGCTGAAGGACTCACCGACGGTAATGACTTATTAAAGTTATTAATCTGTGCGGATCCTCCGCTGTGAGTGTGAGATTAATGGTCAGAGATGTGCTGTAGTCTTGTAATTGCTTCCCTTTAGAAAACTGTAATACATGGATTCAGGAATCATCTTGTGTAAAAACAAATTTGCTCTAAAAAAAAACCCCTCTCTGCCGCCGTCGCCCCACGATAAATAATTCACACTGGGAAAACATTAATTCTCTGAGCCGTCATATCAAAAGATGCAGTTTGAGGGGAAAATACTTTTATATTAAATTTGTCCGCCACCAGAATGTGTTTTGCTCTTATCACTGATGGCATTTTTCAATCAACATTTTAAGAAATATTCGGATTCATCGTGTTAGAGGAGATAGTTTTGTCTTTAAAGCTTGTGGGAAACGCTGCAGAACAGAGACAAACATGACTCAGCGTGAGGCTTCGTGTTTTATCTCTGAAACTCTGCTCAGAAAAGATGTGGATAAAAAACGACACTTTGTGTGAAGTTGCTAAAAATTTAAATAGGTGAAATTAGAGCTAACAGGCAGATGAGTAAAACTGTAGCTGGAAGATACAATTGGCAAAAAACAAAAACTAAAATCCTAGAATTAGCTTAAAGTCTCCTTATAACATGAAGTTGTAAATATTTTCTCCTTGGTTTTGTCAGATTCTTACTGAGTGACAATAAAAAGCTAAAATTAGCAAAATTGTAGCTGAAAGGCAAAAACAAAAATGAGCAAACCCTGGAATTAGTTGACTCAATCATAGAACAATGAGTTTTAAATATATATTTTTCTCCTTAAGATAAAATGAGCTAAACTTTACCTATAAGCTAAAATAGTGAAACCATATTATTAAAATTGTATTTAACTGTCAGCTCAATGAGCTAAATTGTAGTTGGGCAATAAAATTACTAAAAACAAACAACAAAAAATGAACTAAATAATGTGAAGATTGTGGGTAAAGCTAGCTAAATCCTATCTAAAGGCTTAAGCTGGCTAAATTAGCTGAATGACTTGCTGACTGAATAAAACTGAGTTATAGTATTTTTAATATTAATATTAATAAAAATCTGTTAGATTTATCAGCTAAAATTAGCAAAACTGTAGCTGAAAGCTAAAATTAGCTAAAGCAAAAATGATTAAATCCTGGAATTAGCTGAAAGACTCGATACGATACTGTAAATGTAATTTTTTTTTCTCCGTTGTTGCTTTTTGTAAGTCTGTAACCCTAACCCTGTACTAAGTATTATATTATAAATGAGAGACAAATGAGCCAAACTTTAGCTGTTGGCTAAAATGGAGCTTTACCTATAAGCTAAAATTAGCAAAACCATATCCAAAAACCATATTTAACAAAACTGCAGCTAAAATGATCAAAATTGTAGTCAGGCAATAAAATTGGCAAAGAGACTGAATACTATGAAGACAGTGGCTAAAAGCTAAAGTTAGCTAAATTTGAACTAAATGGACAAAAGAGTAGCTAAAGGTTAATTTAGCAAGGAATAAGCTTAATGACTGAATGATTGAATAAAATTGAGTTCTGATAGTGTGTAATTTTTATTATTATATTTATTAATCTGAGTTAGATTTATTAGCTAAAATTAGRAAAGCCATTGCTATAAGTGAAGCCACATCTAAAAGCTATAACTAGCAAAGCCGTGGCTAACAGCTAAAATCAGTGCATCTGTAGCTAGGAGATAAAACTGGCTCATCTGTGAGTGAAAGCTCGTTAGCCAGACAGCAGCTAAAAGTGTGAGAAGAAAACACTGGAGCTGTAAAGTGAACAATGTTAAAGGAAGTGAGGAGATCTCGATGTTTGTGTTCCATTTGTAGATAATTGTATAAAAAATGTAAAAAGTAAATTATGAACCGTGAAATGCTGACTCAGCATCTCCAGGTTAAAAGAGCTGAAGTTTAAAAGTTGATCGTCTGCCCGGCCTCAGAGCTCAAAGAGCAGCTGTGGACGGACCTGAAAGCAGGTGCAGAGTCTGGTTGGGACTTCTCTTCCCGCTGGTACCTGAACGGTGACGGGCACGGCACCGGCACCCTCAGAGAGACCCGGACCGGCCAGATCCTGCCCTCTGACCTCAACGCTCTGCTGTGCCGCAACGAGAAGACCCTGGCTTCGTTCCACCAGCTGCTGGGTGAGAGCACCGGCCATCATAACGGGGCTCTCAGCTCCCGGCCGGCGTTACGTAACGACGATGCTCCGCTTCCCGACAGGTGACCATGACTCAGCGGCCCGGTTCCAGCAGGCTGCGGCCCGCAGGACGGCGGCGATGGAGGCGCTGCTGTGGGATGAAGAGAGCGGAGCGTGGTTCGACTACAGCCTGCTGACGCACTCCAGACGCTCAGAGTTCTACCCCTCCAACCTGGCTCCAGTTTGGGCTCAGTGCTTCTCTGAGCCTGGGATGGGAGAGAGGGCGGTGCAGTACCTGAAGGTCGGTGCAGTACCTGAAGGTCGGTGCAGTACCTGAAGGTCGGTGCAGTACCTGAAGGTCGGTGCAGTACCTGAAGGTCGGTGCTGTATCTGAAGGTCGGTGCTGTATCTGAAGGTCGGTGCAGTACCTGAAGGTCAGTGCTGTACCTGAAGGTCGGTGCAGTACCTGAAGGTCGGTGCTGTACCCGAAGGTCGGTGCTGTACCCGAAGGTCGGTGCTGTACCTGCAGGTACAGCGCTGTATCTGTAGGTTGGTCAAAGAAAACATGAGCACTGATTCACTGAGCTCAGGGGAATTATCTAAACTATATAATATATTATGTAATACTGTATAACAATATAACTATTTTTGTTTTGATAATCTAAAACCTAAAGGACTGAATAACATAATAAAATAACAATTTAGTTTCTTTCATAATACTGGCCAGTTATTGATGGACAACTTTGTAAGTACAGCGTAATTTGCATTTACTGGTACGTACCCTGTAAGTACAGAGTATTTATCAGTTACTGGTACGTACCCTGTAAGTACAGAGTATTTATCAGTTACTGSTACGTACCCTGTAAGTACAGAGTATTTATCAGTTACTGSTACGTACCCTGTAAGTACAGAGTATTGATCAGTTACTGGTACGTGTCCTTTAAGTACAGAGTACCTGCCAGTAACTAGACATTACCCTGTAAGCACAGAATACTTGTCAGTTACTAAAACATACTCTAAGTACAGAGTACTTATCGGTTACTCGTACATACCCTGTAAGTGCAGGGTAATTTTCATTTACTGGTACGTATACCCTGTAAGTGCAGGGTACTTGCCAGTTACTAGACTGTACCCTGTAACTACAGTGTACTTTCCAGTTACTGGTTCATACCCTGTAAATAATACATGGTACTTGCCAGTTACAAGTACGTACACTGTAAATTCAGTGTACTTGACAGTTACTAGTAAGTACCCTGTAAGTGCACGGTAATTTTCTTTTATCGATGCATACCCTGCAAGATCTCTTACTGGTATATATCATGTAAGTACAGAATACTTGCCAGTTACTGGTACATTCATTGTAAGTGCAGGGTATTTATCAGTTACTGGTACATACCCTGCTAGTGCAGGGTACTTATAACTTCCTGTTATGTGCTCAGTACTTACCTGTAACATGACAGAAGAATATAAAAGTATATAATCCACTGTGTACCAGGTATGTACTGGGTTGTATTATGTACCGCTATAAAACCAATTTGAATCTTCCCTAAAATATTATTTTTATTTTTGACTTTATGTTTTCTCTTTTCTTTTAAACCAGAAGAAAACACGTCACTATTTGTGTTTAATATTCAGCTTAGTTGAATTATTCTTCAGGTCATTTAGGAGCTGCAGCAGCAACAGTTGTTAGCATTGGAGCGTCTCCTGCAGACCTCCTGCTCTGGAGCGTCTCCTGCAGACCTCCTGCTCTGGAGCGTCTCCTGCAGACCTCCTGCTCTGGAGCGTCTCCTGCAGACCTCCTGCTCTGGAGCGTCTCCTGCAGACCTCCTGCTCTGCAGCGTCTCTTGCAGACCTCCTGCTCTGCAGCTTCTCTTGCAGACCTCCTGCTCTGCAGCGTCTCTTGCAGACCTCCTGCTCTGCAGCGTCTCTTGCAGACCTCCTGCTCTGCAGCGTCTCTTGCAGACCTCCTGCTCTGCAGCGTCTCTTGCAGACCTCCTGCTCTGCAGCGTCTCTTGAAGACCTCCTGCTCTGCAGCGTCTCTTGCAGACCTCCTGCTCTGCAGCGTCTCTTGCAGACCTCCTGCTCCGGAGCATCTCCTGCAGACCTCCTGCTCTGCAGCGTCTCCTGCAGACCTCCTGCTCGGAGCAGAGTGTGTACAGGAGAGGAGCCATGATGTGGAGGAGGTGATGATGCAGTCATGCTCCTCACTGTTGCACCGTCTGAATAAAACCTGCAGGTTTTTCCATTTCTCCTCCCTCAGACTCTCTCAGCCTGGCAGTGAAGCAGATCAAAAAACACTTTTGCTTTTTCAAGCTAGAAAAACTTAATCTTTTGTAGTTTCTTCTTTTTCAGTTTTTCAGGTGTCTTTTTGTTGTTTTCTTTTAAACTCTAATAAAAATAACTGTAATAATCCTGGGTGCAGGATGAGGCTGTGTCCAGCAGATGGCGCTCCCGCCCCACACCTGGTTCATGTTCCTGTTGTTTCTCTGGTCTCTGTCTCTGCAGGGGAGTGGGGCCCTCAAGTACCCCAACGGGATCCCGACGTCACTGGTGGATTCGGGGCAGCAGTGGGACTACCCCAACGCCTGGCCTCCTCTGCAGCACATGCTGATAGAAGGTGGGAGAGCCTGGAGGAGTGGTCCTGAAGATCCTGCCTGATGATTTATGGAGCTTCAGAGTTCAAACCATCTGAACCTGTTTATCATTTATACTTTTTAATTGTTTCACATGGGAAAGTGTTGAACTAAACTTGTTCTCTGAAATCTACTTCAGCTACTTTTTAGCTAGCTTTTAGCTGCAAGTCTAAGCTTTATTTTGTCTTTTGCTAATGAAGTGTTGAGCTACTGTTTTGCTGTTTTCAGCAACTATTTGCATCATTTCATTCAGTCTTTATTTTTTTATTTTAGCTGCCGTTTTGCTGTTTATGGTTTTACTCTTTAGCTACTTGATTTCAGCTACAAATTTGATAATTATTGGTTTGAGCTGGTCTCCTGATTGAAACTTTTTATCCACTGTTTTGCTTGTTTCAGTGTTTAGCCACCATTTTGCTAATTTTAGCTTCAACCTGCTGTTTTGCTGATTGAATTTTCATTTACAGTTTTATTAATTTTAGCTTATGGCTGCAATTTTTGTAGTTTAAGCATTTTTATTTTAGCATAAAGTGTTGCTAATGTAGCATTAAGCTACTGTTTTGCTACTTTTATCAGTTAGAAATGATTTTGGTCATTTTAATTTACTTGTAGGATTGGTCATTTTAGCCTTTAGCTTCAACTTTGCTTGTATTAGCTTCGCATTACTTTTAGCTAATGTCTGATGTGCAGTTATTTGTTTTGAGATACAATATTATCACTTAATGCTTTTAGCTAGCCTGCTAATTTAAATGTTCATCTTGCTAGTTTGCTAATTGTAGCATTTAGCAGCTATGTTTCTTTTAATGTGTGCAGATTTTGTCCGTTTTGGTTTTAGCTGCAATTTTGCTAGTTTAAGTTTTTTTTGCTCATAGTTTTAGCTACTGATTTCCTAATAATTGTTTTGATTACAATTTTACAAATTTTTGCTTGTAGCTTTTTCTGCTAATCATAATTCGAAGCCACTAGTTTTTATTTAACATTTTGTTAATTTTAGCTTTGAAGCTACTATTTAGCCATTTCTTCTCTTGGACACATTTTATCCTAATTGTAGCATTTAGCTACTGTTTTGCTATTTTTATCAGTTAGCAACTATTTTGGTCATTTTAATTTACTTGTACGTTAGGTCATTTTAGCCTTTAGCTTCAATTTTGCTAGTATTAGCTTCTGATTGCGTTTAGCTACTATCTGATGTGCAGTTCTTTGTTTTGATATGTAATTTTATCACTTAATGCTTTTAGCTAGCCTGCTAATTTATATGTTTATCTACTGTTTTGCTAGTTTGCTAGCTGTAGCATTTAGCAGCTGTGGTTCTTTTAATATTTGTGCAGTTTTGGTCATTTTTGCTTTTAGCTGCAATTTTGCTAGTTTAAGGTTTTTTGCTCATAGTTACTTTTGATACTGATGTGCAAACATTTGTTTAGATTACAATTTTAATTTTTTTCCTTTTATCTTGTCTGCTAATTACAGTTTTAAGCCACTAGTTATTAATTTATTTAATTTTAGCTTTGAAGCTAGTACTAATTTTTTTCTTATGGCCACAGTTTTGCTAATTGTAGCATTTAGCTGCTGTTTTACTATTTTCAGCATTTAGAAATAATTTTAGGTCATTTTAATTTACTTAATTTTCGGTAATATTTGCTTTTTAGCTGCAGTTTAGCTGGTTTTAGCTTCTGTTCGGCTCATTTTAACTCGTCATTGATTCATGTTTTAACCAGTCTCATGTATAAAATAGCTTCGGCTCAGACTTCACTCTGATCTTTCTTACAGAAACGGTGATTTCTCTGTTTTTCTGGGTTTGAAAAGGCTCGGCTGATCTTTTCATCTCATTAAATTCAGAATCAAACTCACGAAGTGTTTTTGACTTCGGCTCCTCGTCGGCCTTTTCTTCGGTCTCTTGGCTTTAATTTGAGAGAGTTGACGTCCTCATGAGAGGCGCAGCTGGAGGGGGCTGCTTCCTGTCGGTCCCTTCGTATTTTTTATTTATTTTGTATCTTCCTCGGCGCTGCACCTTTTCTCTGGTTTCTTCTTGCTTCAGGGGCTTTTGGCTTTGGGTTTGGTGTTGAAGTGAAAACATGCTCAGCTGCGCTGAAAGCAGCCAACAGATTGGATCAGTTAGAAAATAAAAAAACAACTCTCCTGCTGTCATGTAGCTTCTGGGATTGACGCTTTGCTGCGTTCAGGTAAAAATAGGATTATTTCTTTAAAACATAAAAAGAAATCTTTGAAGGAATGCGTTTCATCCGCCAGAAACCAAAAGTCGTAAAAAAACTAAAGTTAGTTTTGTCTCCAGGTTTGTCCAAGCTGCCGTCAGCCGAAGCTAAAGAGCTAGCGTTCGACTTGGCCCAGCGCTGGATCAGGACCAACTGGTTGGCCTTCAGCAAATATGAAGCCATGTTTGAAAAGGTGAGTCTAAAAAACCCTCCCGGGTCTTCAGGCTAAAAACCCTGCTGACTCAGCACTTTCCTGCCCTTTACTCAGTACGACGTGAACGGAGACGGAAAACCCGGAGGAGGAGGGGAATACGAAGTTCAGGTGTGTCTGGTTTTGTGTGGTTTTGTTTTTATCCACACCTGTGTTCAGTTTAAGTGGAATTCTTAGGAAGTATTTTATTGGATCCACGAGTAAATAATTAAAACCAGAATCTGTAAATATTAAAAGGTAACTCAGATCGGTAGAGCCGGAGCTTCACGTGTTTTTGCTGCCCCCCCCCCCCGCCTGCAGCTGGGGTTCGGCTGGTCCAACGGCGTGGCCCTGCAGCTCCTGGATCAGTACGGGCCGAGGCTCTCCTCGGGAGGCAGACGTGTCGGCTCTGACCTCCTGCTGCCTCTGCTCGTCTCCGTCGGCCTCGCGCTCCCATGAGTCCGGCGCGTCCCAAGATCTGAGCCGGAGGTCGGGTTTTATCGTTCCTGCCTTCGCCTACTGTCAGCTGCGACCAGCCGAAGGCTGATGAACGTATCAAACTTTAATTATCTGAATGTGTGGAAGATGATTCGGTGTTGATTCTCCTTGTTTTTTTGTACATTTTTATTTCAGTTACTTCTGACTTTGTCAGAATTCAGAAAACATTTTCCCCAAATAAACACAAAGATCTCTTCAGTTCTTCCAACAAGTGTTTTTATTTTTTTAATCTGCTGCAGATTACTCGCTCTATTTTTGTCTCCTACTTTTAGATGTTAGCTGCTGTTCTGCTACTTTTAGCTTTTCGTTAATTTTAGCTTTAAAGTAGGTTTCTTCTATTTTCTAAACTTTTAGTTAGCCTGGTGTAGTTCTTATTGTTAGATCTTGGCTGCTTAGTTAGCCTTTTGCTCCTTGCATCGAGACTTTGGCTGGTTGAAGCGAGCCTTTTGGCTGCTTAGCTAGCCGTTTGTTATTTATAGTTTCATTTTTTAGCAAGCTTGTTGCTACTTAATTAGCCTTTTGCTATATTAGCAAGCCAGGTGAAATTTTTACTGAGCCTTTTGCTGCTTAGTTAGCCTTTTGCTGCTTTTTGCATGCCTTTCCGTCTATAGCAGAGGAGCCCAAAGTGGGGCCCGCGGGCCAAATTTGGCCCACCAAGCCATTTGATTTGGCCCACCAACAGTTACCAAAGTTACAAGGTTGTAACCTGTTATCCTATAGGTAGAAACACAGTATTTCCATTGGTCAAATGACTATATAAAGAGGCTGTAGTGAAGATAGTTTTCATTCATGGTGCTGACTTTATCTTTGATTTATTAGGATTAAACATGAAACATGAAACAACAATAAGAAATATTTAGAGCAGATTTAACCCCGCATGTAGATTTGCACACTTTATAAGGCCACAAAAACTCATATTTTATCAATTTATAAAATGTCCCATGAGCCTTTGCTACTTGAGCGTACGGCAGACTTTCTCCAAGTGCACAGACTAAAACAAAAGAGGACCATTGCACAGCTTAATCTTTAAAAATAAATGACTTTACTTTTAAAAAGTATTTGTATTTCATGTATTATATAACTGCTTTTGGCCCGCAGCCCTGGATACATTTTCATTTTGGCCCCCTCGGGGAAAATGTTTGGGCACCCCTGGTCTATAGGTAGCCTTTTGCTGCCTGCAGTGAGGCTTCGGCTGTTTGTAGCATTTCATTGGCTGGTTGCAGAGAATGTTTTGCTGCTTGAAATGAGCCTTTGCTTTCTTAGTTAGCTTTTTGCTGCTTCTAGCTTGCCTGGTGATACTTTACTGAGCCTTTAGCTGTTGTTAGCTTTTTGTTGCTCTTCCTTTTGCTACTTATAGATAGCCATTTGATGGTTTTAGTAGGCCTTTGGCTTCTTAGATAGCCTTTTAATGTTTGTAGAGAGCCGATGGCTACGTTCAGCTATTTTTATTTAGTTTTTTATCACATCAATCGTCAGTCAGTGCTTTGTTTTCTCGTTGCATTTTCACAGAAAATCTAATTTTTCTAGTTTGAGTTTAAATATTTTTTTTTCAGAAGGAAAGTTTTTGACTTCATGAAATGGTTTGAATCCTTCAGGCTCTGCTGAACCTTTGAAATGTTTCTGCAGATTAATGAACGTTTCCCTAAAATGAATGAACTGAAATTAAAAACTGTTCATTTAAATATTGCCTACATTTACAGACAGAAATGAGATCAAATAAGAAATAGTTTTTGAATTAAACAAGCGTTTTGTTGCAAAATTTGTCCGTCATAAATATAAATATGTCATCAACCACTGGATGGATTTTAATAAAAATATCAGAAAACTGTTGAAAGTATCTCTACCTCTGTTTTATAACAGTAAATATGCTCGAGTATTGTAATGATGGCATTAAATGTGTATAATGTTTATATATTTTAAATAAATTCCTTCTTTCAGTGTAAACCAACCAACCAGTCCAGATGTGGCATCATCTTCTATAACTGTGGTAAAATCCATAAAGATCGAATCTATAAAGGTCGAGAACCAAAACTTTTTCCTTCTCGTTAAATATTCAGCTAAAAATGTGTGGGAATTAATTTCCCTCCACCAGCTGTGCGTCAGAAAACACACACTGCACTGACCTTTGGACCTTTTCCAAAACACAACGTGTTCGCAGATATTTCGTGCAGAACATGACAGAAAAGCTGTCTGTGGTGGAAAAACACAACCCCCCCCATTTCTGCTGACGTCTGTGGCGACACGGTGCTTCGAGCATGAAATGAAGTCCCCACAAGTATGCAAATACTTAAGGAATAATTTACCTTTTTTGCGAGGAGAGAATTGCATCTTCCTCGACTGGAAATCTGGGACTAAGTGTGGATTTTCTCTTTTTAGCATGAGCGGACACAAAGGATTGGCTGTTCAATTCAAAGGGACTGAAAGGCCAACAGGTGCAGCGGTCCGTAAAACCACCAGGATCGCACTTTAACCTCAGGGTCTCCATCTACAAGTCATATCGCCGCTTTATTTGCGTGCATATGTGATGCCCAGACAGCTGCAGCCGTGCATTTAATGCTGCGTTTAGTCATTTTAAAGCATCAGGCAGCCGTCACCGGGTTTTTGGCTCAGTTTACCCGCTCGCTCGCTCTTTATGCTACTGCAAAGGATGAAGTCGTCCATCAGGTTCGGTGGCGATGAGGTGAGACGTTTGGTTACACAAATCATGACTTTATTGTGACGAGCATGGTTCAATGGGGAAACGGCAGCGGCGTTGTTGTCGCAGGAAGTAAAAGGTCAGTATGTCTCGTCCAACCAGAAAGTATGATCAAATACTCAGAGCAGCGAAGGTCAAGTAGAGAATTAGTTTGGATTCTTTGGTTTATTAAACCACGTGGCATAGGCGGTGTAGGCAGTCACTAAAGGGGGCGCCATATATGGGGGGAAATAGCCAAATTGTCTAGAGCAACAATTAACCAGGCGTAGCATTGTCTGTTAGCAAAATTCACTCAAACTCACATTTATGACGAGTATTTTTTGGAATCAAACCAATTCAAGATGACCGCCACAGCTAACTGACAATGGCACTTACAATAAAAATGTTAAACACAAATTTAAAATATTGTAACTTAGTCTTTTGTTGCTCGTAGCAGGACTTTGGCTGCTTAGCTTGCTTTTTTGCTACTTATAGTTAGACTTTTCTGTTTTTAGCAAACCTTTAGCTACTATTGGTATGCCTTTTGCTGCTTGAAGTGAAACTTTAGCTTGTTTTAACAACCCTTTGGCTACTCGTGAGATTTTAGCTGATTGTGTGAAATGAGCCTCTGGCTGCATAGCTAGCCTCTTGCTACTTATAGTTAGCCTTTTCTGCTTTTAGCAGTACTTTTGCTACTTAGCAAGACTTTTTCTACTTTTAGCATGCATTTATCTGGTTTTAGCGTACCTTTTGCTGGTCGTAGCAAAACTTTAGCTGGTTTTAGCAAGACTTGGGCTGCTCGTAGTGAGGCTTTTGTTGGTTGTAGAGTGACATTGGCTGCTTGAAGTGAGCCTTTGTCAACTTAATCAGCCTTTTGCTACTTATAGTTAGCCTTTTTCTGCTTTTAGCAAGCCTTTAGCTACTTCTAGCAAGCCTTTAGCTGCTCATAGTGAGACTAGCTGGTTTTATTATGCCTTTTGCTCCTTGTAGTGAGATTTTAGCTGGTTTTAGCTAGCTTTTGGCTGGTTTTAGTGAGCCTTTTGCGGGTTTTAGTGAACCTTTTGCTGCTAGTAGAAAGACTTTAGCTGGTTGATGCAAGATTTTGTCTGGTTGTAGAGACTTTAGCTGGTTTTAGCGAGCCTTTGGTTGTACTGAGACTTTAGCTGGTTTCCTTCACAAAACACTTAGGTTTTAATGATGCGTCTAAACAAAACAGTTTCTACAGGCTGCTAAAATGTGAGTTTTTATAAATTGATCAAATATAAGAAATGTTCTCAGATTTTGCAGTGCTGCAGACCGAGACCTGAGCTTCGTTACTTCTACC